CCCCCGTGGCTCCGCCACTGACTGTTTCCACATCAAAACTATGACTCGAAGTGTCAAAACTATGATTCGCAGTATCTCTGTAGGGCCATCAGTTATAGATGTCTTCAGGAGTAGTACCCAATAATCGAAACAAGAAAATTTCCATCGGTTCACCTGAATCCTTCCATCATACCTTCGCTTTTAAGACATTCGTATTTTCCCATAACAGTATATCTGGTGTAGATACATGGATAAAGTCATATTGTTATGAGAATTCGATTCCAAATCTGTCAATGGCATACCAATTATAAGTTATTATCTAAGGACTATACAAAATAACAACTAGGCTCTGATGCAGAGCAAAAGTTCCAAAAGCCACTTTAAGTTAGGGGACAGTATGCCAATAAAAAATTTCGTGTTGAGAAGTGCACGTTTCAAAAGAAAAACGCACTTTGCTAGCAACAACCCATTTTCATTCCAAAATTTTTGCACCAAGAAAAACATGCGCCGCTAAAATGCTAAAAATATTTTTCTCATTTTCAATTGCATTTTATAAAAGGCTTTGATATGCAATGCTACGGTTATGTTTAAATGGACACTATGAAACCACGAGGTGGCTAAGGTCCAAAGATGAATTGTCGATAAAAACAGGTAAGGTGAAGCGCTTTGTTTGAATTTGTTTATATTTACTAGGCTGTTTAATCCTTCAGTGATATTAAGTTTGCCGAAAAAATGAAATTTCAAAATAAATATGTTTTCGAAACTTGGAAAAATATGCACAAAGAACACAAAAAAGTACATGAGAGCTTCGACACAACAAGGCTTTTAAATTTCCATTGATTTACGGCAATTGATTTTCTCCAAAGTGTTTCGATAGTCTTCCTCTCCATTTGGCGATGTCTAAAGCCCCGGCCAAACGAGTGAAAAATTGAGTCGTTTAGCCACCTTGTCGAGTGAGTCGAGTAAGCGCTTGCGCAGTTATCACTTCTAATGCTTGTTTTTTTTTAAAGAGATAGGGCTTTATTCGAGAGCGGAGCAGCCAAAAGGGGCAGGGAAGTATACTACCCTGGGGCCTCTAGGTACAGGGGACATTTTAAAGTGTAAATTCCATTTTAAGAATTTAATTAATCAAACGAAGCAAAAGTATGCCTAAAAATAGTAATTTGCTTAAACGAAATAAAATATTTAGTGACGGTTACTGCATAAAACGAACGAACAGGGTCTTATGACGCTAGAGTTCGCCAAGAGAATGTAAAAGTACATTTGCATCAGCTGCTTTGCGTTTCTTTGTCTTCTTTTTGTTGGCATGAGTAAAAAGTCGAGTGAATAATCGAGCGAAAAATGGAATCGTTTGGCCATCCATGCTCGACTTCGCTCGATTTTGAGATCAAATGTCGAGAGAAAGATCGAGCGAAAAATATTTTGAATTGGGCTCAAGAAATGCTTTTGTATGCCAGAGAGGTGTATTGTATTATCAGATTTTTGTTTTTAAAAACGTCTTGTCAGTTATTTGATTCAGAATGTACTCGATTTGGATATTCAAAATTAATCGTAAAATCTTTATCTAATGATCGCTTTAAGTCTGAAACTCAAAATGCAATTTAAACCATACATAACTGTTTATACGCATAGAACACTCTGCAAAAAAAACAAGCCCTAATCTTCAACAATAACTCATCATATATAATTTGTTGTCATTGCAAGGATATGAAAGGAAAGCATTGGCTGCTGGGCTGTTCCGAATTCTACACGTTCATTCTGCCAGTTTTGCCATGGCAGTCTCGTTCCGAATACGAGTCGGTACAAATAGGCGGGAAACTTTGGAAAAGCAACGTTATCACGCAATGCACGTGTTTGGAAGGAAAGGCAAAAATTTTCAAGCTAAATTCTTGCTTCCAAACATAGAAAATCTTCAACAGCAAGAATGCAATGTAATGTGATACTGCTTTGTTCTTCGAACTTGAATTATCGACATGAAAACAACGCAGAAAACAAAGCAGACACGTATAGTAGCAACAGAAGTGGATGTGGAAACGAAATTTAAAAACTAAAGAGGCCATAGAATCATCATTTCAAGGTAAGCTTTTCACTCTTCATTCTGCACAAAGTTTAATTGATGACAAAACTGCAAAAGTTTCAAAATGATTTCGACAAATTTGGTAGGTACTTTGATAGTCGTTGAATGGTACTTGCCTTCGTTGCCTTGAGAGTGAAAGGAGAATTTGATGGGCATTCTAGCCACGCCAATCATATGCGGCCTAAAATTGGGGAAAATTTACTATAGCTGTTTCCGTTATTGCGTGATTTTAGGTATCGGAAGCAGGGGCAGTTAAAGCAAATTGGTCCAAGAAAAGAAAAGTTTTACCTCGGCAGTGCCTTTCTCAATGCCATTTCAGCTTCCTCACTTGCAAAATAGCGTTAATCGGCTGGAAGTAGATGCTGTCAAAAATCCTTATCAAAAGAGATAATCGATGAACAGGATATTTAGTTTCATGTTTGGGTGCCTGCATATCTAGCAAATTTTAAACCCTTTTTGGAAAGTGTTATCTTGGGGGTACAAAAGTATATCAGTAATGCCTGCCTATTTCATTGATGAACGTTTGTCAAAAGTTTAAAAAATTGCAAAAATATATACTTATACCCATATATAGTCAATTTTCACTCCAAAGAGGACACAGTTTGAATTAACTTTGCAGAAAGTCTATTCGTTTGATATTTGCTTCGAAAACAAGAATGCTGATTGTGATTTCATTCTGGAGAAAATAGGAACATTGAGAGCAATGCAATAAAACATTAGTACATAGAAATGTCTTACTTTGAAGAACATACCGCATGTTATCAAACGTTTTTTGGAAAATTTACATTTCTGACCTTCCAACTTCGATTTCCATTAAAAAACCACGCTGAGCACCATTTTAAAAAACTGGCAAATTTTAAGCAATTTTAAATCACTTTGGAAATCATTTTTGGGGCACCTGCCCCACCTCACTCCAAATTTTTTATAGGCTTCAAAGAAGAGATTATACTCTAGGAAATTTGCGTAGAATAATATTTGTATAATAGTTTCAATATTTCTAAGGAAATTGAACGCGAAGAAAATTAACGCAGAGCAAGAACTTTTGCATTAGTTTTAAAAAGAAATTAGCGTGGTTTTTATGACAGGAGATCTCAAAGTCTTTCGAAGTTGACATGAAAAAAACAGTACGTAAAGGTAAATTGAAAAGCATGAATAACCATTGCAAAACAGTGTTTATGTTGAAGTACTGAAATGCTAGATCGAAAATGAAATATTTCGATAAATGCAAGGGAATAGTAATAGTTTTAGATAGAAGAATGATAGTTATATTGTCGCTGTGTACGGAACTTAAGAAATTAGGCCTTGAGCAAGGTTCTTTATAGAAAAATATACGTGCATATCACACACAACAGACTGTTTTCCACCTTATGTAAATATTTAGTCAAAAGGAACAAAGTCGAATCTACGAGTAGGATGCACTTAAAACTGGTAAATAATTAAGGATATTGGTGCAATTTCAGCAAGAAATACCGGTTAACCGGACCTATTGACATAAGTGAAATCAAGAAATACAAGGAAACGAGGGAATGATTAATTATGACAACTGTGCTACGCATCTTTATCTGTTAATCGGCGGATCATTAATTCTGCTAGGAAGTTCTGCGTGGTACATTAATGTAGGACTGTTGTATTTGTGCCAAGTAAAAGAAGGGGAAAGTCTGTGGCAAACAACCTCTTCCCTGTGATTTCCACGCATATCCGTAATTCATCGAAAACAAGTCAGGTCCAAACGGGATGTAGTTGATAATTTACCTTACTGCACGATCAAACCACATTCCATGCTATTAGATTTTGTTTCGGTAAACACGCGAAGCTAGACATTACATGATGCACGATGGCATTGCAATTTGAAAACAGCACGTTTGGTTATCAATTACAAGCACTGTATCTTACAGAACAGTGCAGGTGCCAATTGTATTCTTCTCTCTGTCCCTCCTCTCCTTTAGTACGGGCCTTGATGACAGTTATGGTGATGTCAGCATCTTAAACAACAAGTTGTTAAACAAAAAATTGATCAAAGAATCATGCTTCTTTTATTCGCAGCATATACGCCTCTTGATAGTTGAGGGGAATGTACGAGGGAATGTATGGGTTACCAAAACATGAGAATAGGATTTTTGACTTGGCTTTTTATAGACTTCCGATTTTTCTTGAAAAGCTGCTTTAACCTGTTGACTTCATTAACTGCTGTAGAAAAGGATTGTCTTCAGAAAATCGTGTGAAGGCAAGTTGCACCCCCCCCCCTTCCAATCTTCAAAAAAGCAGATTTTGTCGGGCAAATATATGGCTGCCAGCGTTTCTGTCGGGCTAATCTGGAAATTTGCTTTAGGTTGCACTTTTATTGGTACTTTTTGCCCTAGCTTAGTTTTTGAATTTATGGTCTTTCCCCCCATCTTTTTTTTCAATCTCCACCCAGTTTGGAAAACAAAACAGAAACGAGGCAAGCAACAGAAACATACATACATTTTTGTCTTTCGTCCACCGATCAGCGTTCTTGAGTCTGGTTATGAAAAAAGTGAAGTTTCGCCCCTGATCCAACGCAAAAGTATAGACGGAAAGTAAAATGTGCTTGATGCAAGAAGGAAATTAACACAGGGCATACCCCCTCTACTTTTTGCAAAACAAGAGAGTTTTTTTCAAAAATGTTTGTTGTGATTTATAAATTTGCTTTTGACAAGCCCCCCCAGTGGTGTTTCCACAGGGGGCCAGGCGAGGCATGCCCCCCAGAAATGTTCTTTGCCCCTTGTTTTGCCCCCCCCCAGTTTTTTCAAAAGTTTCTATTAAGTATTCAATGTTTTCTGCCGAAGCTGTTCAATTGTTTTTTCACTTTGTTAGGGTTGCTCCCTTTATTTTCTCAATGCTATCTTTATTGCATTTATTTAACAAACTAGGGGCCCCGAGAAGCGTTTTGGTTTGTAACCGAGGTGGACATTTATGAGAGTTTGGCTGCTTTCTAATAAGTTACCAAGTAAAAACCAAGAGTTACCAAGTGTTCTGTAGTTACCAAGAAAAACCCATTCTTGAAAATCGTTTAAATTCTATATTTGCTATATATTATCACGAAGATCCACCTTCTTGCGATGCGGTGCGCAGGGTCAGCCCAATACCATCCCAGGCAACCTACTATTGCTTATCGAAACTGTATGACTTGAAATTCTGTGTAACAGAATAATTTGCTTGATCTCATGGAGGTTGGATATAAGACATAACTACGACAGAAAAATTTTACCAATCAACCTCACAAAGCTATTAGACTTTTATTTTTTTGAAGCTTAGTTCTTCTGTTGGAAACCATGTTCATGATCATTTTTGTTGAACAGATAAAACTCAGTGGAGTAACAGAACAAAGTTACTTTTAGTCATATAACAAACGGTCCCGAACCTTTAGGGGCCCCCAGCAACAATTTTTCTTTGTTTTTTTTCTAGGGAACACAGCTGCTCCTTACACCACTAATAAAACTATTTGGCATAATGATAACAGCCTTGATACTGCTGTACCAAGGACATACTTACCTATGGGGAGCTAAGAACCGGTGCTTGTAACTAGCTAATTTTGAGTCACCACGCCACTGCTTTACATTCTTCTAGTTCCCAAATTAATAGCTAGGGTTGGCTCCTATAACTGAAAGTTTGGCCCCCGGTTAGCCCCCCTCAGATTTCTAAGGCTAGAATCACCACTGCCCCCTTCCCAACTTTCCATCCTGCCTCGGAGCCCATGGAACACTGACAATTTTAGAAGCATCATAAATCTAAGCATGAAAGATATACTATCTCGGAATTCGTTGTTGAGAAAAACCAAATCAATACTTTCTTTTCCAAAAGTATGAAATCTTCATCATACATTTATAAGGAGTTATGCCCCGAAATTCTCTCAAGGTTTTACACAAGTTTTTGACTAAAAAAATTCAAATAACCGTAACAAGTAACAGAAAGTTTAAATCAGTTCAAGCTGGAAATAATAGAAAATTTATCAAAGAATTGTAATTAAGAAATGAACTGCAAAAAACTTTCGAGTTTCTTCTATTTCTGGACAATATCCATCATAACAAAAACACGAAAATTGAGCTGAGAGATTTTGTTATGGTGAATTCAGAGATATTTAATTTGTGCTTGGGTGTCTAAAAATGTTGAAATTTTTTCTGGAGCAACCGAAAGGTGAAAGTCAAACTCAGAAAATGCAACTGAAGCTCTTTTTTATTGAAACATTGTAGTCTGTTTAGCTGTTTCTAAATTCCGAAATTTCCAAGCTGTGTTTTGTTGTTCCACTTTGATAAACCTACTTGAGACCCTACTTCAATCTCTTTTTTGAATTGCTCTCTTAATAGCCAGATGATTTAGAAAGTGAAGACTATTTTTCTTTTATAGAAAAGACAGGCCGTACAAATGCTTGCTTTTAGGAAACAAATGTTTATAGTCAACACCAGAAAAACTAGAGGCATATTTATCGACTTTAAACAAACAGATTGAGTCTAAAGACCCTCTCTCGGGGTCCCCAATGATTTCAGCCCTTGAGGCGATGTGCCCTAAAAATGAAGGTTCCAGTTCAGTCTATTGTGCATATGCTGCTCGGGATACTTTAACTGTAGATTTATCAAACTTTACAGAAAGGCCCAAAACACTTCTTACCTAATGCACCTAGGCAGTTGCGTAGATAGGAGGGACCAAGAGGGGTGGGTGAAACCCCCGTAAAGCTAAGCTGCTATTTTGTCAGAAAACGTCTGATTTTGTTGGAAGTATAACATGATTGTCTATAAGACAGCTAAGTGTTACATTCTGAGAGGAAAGCTTTAATGCTGAATTTAATGCTGAATATAACAATTTCTTCTGTTGTTCTGAATCAAATTGGCAATCTCATTCAGATAGATTCTGTGGTATGTGCTTAAAAATGCCTTCGAAGAAGAGTCGAGAAAAATCTTCAAGTAGTAGGATTTATGACACACGACTATGAATAAAAGTTAAAAGTTTATCTTCTGTATTATTTTAGATCTAACATAGTTATATTATTTCAAAATTATGAAAAAATCCTCTATAGATTTTGGCAAAAAATCAAAATTTCCCACCACTCAGATGAATTCCTATGTACATAAATGAAATTTTGCCTCCCGTATTATAACACCTTGAGATTTGGCCCCAATCAAAAGAAGACTGTTCTTTATTTTTTGGAGTAGCTCTTTGTTGCATGGAAAGGAAGAATATCAAATCATAAAGAAACCAACAATAACAGCGCAATTTTAATGATTCTGTTTTCTTCAGGAAGCAAACAAGTATTAGTTAAAAACTAGTCAAGAAGAAAAAATACAAAGTTGGAAAAATTTGAAGCAAGAGCGTTCGACCCTTTGAATTTAGAAAGAGGTTGAGATTTTAAAACAAGGTTCAAATCAATGTTTTATAGGGATTGCTGGTAAACAAAAAGGCTTTTTTAGGCTCATCAGCCAATTTTATTAACAGTAAGTCAGCTTCCATCTTATTTTTATACTAATTCCATTCTGATGGGTCTCCAGCCTAACGAAAGGCGACAATATCTCTGAATTAAAAATAAAAAAAAAATCTCTTTTAATCTCTTTCGCTTATCAATTTTGCCAAGATCACTCTGCTCTTTCTAAAATTCAACGCAACCGAAAAGACAAAAACATAAAAGAACTACAGCACCAGCAGCAAATAGAGCAAAAATGCCATAATTCCATACACAAGTAGCTACCCAGCAAAGTATATGCAACACGAAAGAGGAAAAAACATGTACAAATTAAGAAGTTTGGTGCATCTAGATAACCACGTGGTTACCTTACATATAATATCTTTGAAATGCCTATAAAAGCCGATGCTTTCAATCAAACGCTGGATTACCAACCATTTGATTAAGAGCAAAAAGCGTTGTCCTTGAAAATCTCCGCTTGTTGTTCTTTGCTGATGACACCGATGTTTTGCATTACTACGTCATCATACAAATGACCGTCATCTTTGTGCTGTTCAGGGGGCAAATCCTCTTGGCTACCTGCATAACGATTGTCTTTCTCTGGCTTAGGGGCGACCTTAGCAGACTTTTTCATATGTGCGACCTTGAACGCAAGCCCAGCGACAACCGCGACCAGTACAGCAACAGCAACACCCATGCCAACGAAAGCTGTCGTTTTATCTTCATGCCCTTTTTGTGCTTTGTCTGGAAAAGAGAGAACGAATCATCGACGTGCTGTAATTTTACACGAAAATTGCCTGTTGTTAAGTGTTCGATGATGTTTAGATAAAACTTTTCTGGCTTTTGTGTGAAGAACAGGACTGTTCAAAGCTGCAACTGTCACACTAAATGCGATCATTTGAGGTAACTGCCAATTATGATTGAACTATTAATTAAACACAGGCTACCAACATTCTTCACTCCTGTGGCTATGGGTGTGGCTATGGGTGTGGCTTCTAGATGTTGCAATGCTGCCATGGTTTCACTCTAAACATATCCTTTATTTTTCCATGTGTAACTGAAGATATAATTTAGCAGAATGACATATGAATGGAATTAGAATTTACAAAAAAAGTTGAAGTTAAAAACAAGGAAAACGAAAAACAATCTAATATCTAAATACGTCACAACCACGAAGTGAAACGAATACATAAGACATGCGACGAGAAAATTAATTCTAGATCCAACGAAGCAAAAATAAGTACATAGTCGAGAATCGAGTTGGCTGGGGAAGTACAAGCTAATATGCCACGTCTTCAAAATTCAATGATAAACGAATCGTTCACTTCTTTGGAGTTTGTTTAACAAGGATGCTCTTTTCTGCACTGTAAGCCATTAACTTCAAGAGACTTCAAATCAGACAACAAAGCATTCAGGATTTAGGCATGCGTTACTTTTTGGTATGGGAATATGTCCACTTGATGCTTACCTTGACTGCTATCTGCAGCTCTGCGAACCTCCCTCTCTACCATGTAAAATTTTGAAGGAGGATCGTTTGAGACACCGCTTAGGTCTCGCTTTCCTCTGAAAATGTTATTGCCAGTGCACCCGTATCGGCAGCGATAATCCGTTGATGTTGCATGGCACAGGAAAACGAGGCAGTGGAAATATACAGATGTGCTGTTATTTAGAAATTTGAACGCCTGAATACTAAAGCGTTGACGGTGGTTTTGCGTCTTGTGAAACTGGACGGTGTTGTCGGTAGGGCATCTAGAATGCAAAAGTAATGAAGGTTATCGGTGTTGTTATGGAAGGACTAAATATGATGAGGAACTGTTGGCCCAGGCTGGAATCCATGTAACGTACGGCAGAGATACCTGGTGTGGACGAAGAAATAAAGTGTTGGCGTAAAGGTGGATGGGATGCTGCCTATGTTTGGGACACCATATGGCTTATAAACACCATATGGCTTATCAGTGGTGATAGAAAAATGAGTAATAGTTTTATTATCCAGTATATCATACAACTGTTTAGCGTGAGCATTAAGATGGCCAATATCCAGCGTGAGGTATACATGGATCCTTGTATGATATAGATAATTGACTGGCCCTTGGCAGAGGTCTACAAGACAGAGAACCAAACCCTTCGTTGTTGCTGGCATCTAAGATGAAGCGCTTGTGCATAGGAATATTTTAAAGCAAGTGGTGGATTAACCAATACCAGGTCCTGGGCCTAAGATATTTTAGGGCTGAATTCTGCCAAAAGAATACAATTATGCTATAACAAACTATTGAGGTCATTAATGAATATTGCGCAGCTTGAAGCAACAGGTTTGAGTATATGCCGATTACAAATTAAGATAAAATGTAATGATATTAAACTGTCCAATAATAAGTTTTCAGAAAACATGCAATTTATCAATTTCGTCCAACATCGAAATTTACGATGTTGGGTGACCCAACAAGGTGGTCAAACGATCCAACATTTCTCCCAACATCATGTTGGGCGAAATGTTGGGTGAAATGTTGGATCGTTTGACCAGGGCTTTAGGTTCGGCACATGAGAAGTGCGACATTTGAACCAGGCCTAAGCCATGTAAAGTCGGATGTTCTTTTGGTAATTAGAAATGACAGGCCATAGTAAAATAATACAACCAGCCATTTTATTAGCAACGGAAAAATGCAAGAGTCCTTACTAAAACATAGAGTAAAGCCTAGGCGCCATAAGCCCCATAGGTAATCAACCACTGTGTAAAATGATTATGAGATACCTGTTGTTGATGAAGACGTATTTCATGTAGTGGTTCCTATCCATAGTTGGCGTGGAAAAGCATTGATCGATGAGTATGACTGTGTTTTCCTGAGATTTACTCGAGTAGACTTCAAAGTGCATCCAGTCTCTCAGCTGGACACTCACAGGGTAATGGGAATGCATCGTTGAATAAGTACGGTCAGTGTACATGACAAAGTTGAAACTGAAGTTTCCATATCCAACTAGGAAGAGATCAATATGAAATATAAACTGGACAGTAATATCTAAATCAATAGAAGATCATTTCCGTATATAAACAAAGAGATATATTATTTAGTTGAAGAAATGTAGAGGTATATCAATTAGAGAAATAAGGTCCTGAATTCTTCATTTTTAAAATATGCGGCTTATCTGCATGACTATATGTAATTTATATTAGATTGAATAGATTGAAATACGTGATCGATATTACATAAGCAGTACATATTAGGTCCGAGGAAAGCAGCTTTGATTCATATACAAAACTTTTTCAATGTAACTAAATGATGCGATACACCTAATTGCGTCAGTAAATAAGGAATAGACATGTAATGTTCATCGCCTAGTGATTAATCATTGCTAAATTATTCTTACATTGTTATCTTGATGGGTCATTTTCATTAAAGCTAAGATTTGACCAAGTACTGAAATTAATCTTACCTTCAGATCCAGTGACATTGGATATTGGCAAATACCAGTATGAGTTCCACGTACTACTGTATCCAGATTTGTCGAAATAGCAAGTGAATTTTACTCGCTGGTCAGGATCCCTTGTTGTTGTACCAGCAATAGCTTTTGGTTTGAAAATGACTTCATTCTCGTACACAATGTAACTCGACGTCTCACTTCTAGTTGACCCACATCCGCCTGGTACACTACCAAGTATGATGTTGTAGCTGTTTATTAATGGTAAACAGGAGGTATCTCGCAATGTTATGCTTGAAAACACGGATGCATCGTAGAAGGCTCGATCAAACTCGATCCGCATATAGTTTTGAGTGCAGGACACGACGGAGCTTTTATCTAGTAATAAGCAAAAAATCTTTTATGTTAGTGCCATTGCATTTGTTGAGAATTTTAAAAAGGAGCATTGATTTTCTTAAAGTATACCGCAAGAGATAGGAGTGAAGGTTATATGTAAATTACTGAAAGCCAGTGTTAGATTTAGTTCAATGTCCGTGTGCAAGAGAGGAGAGTAAGACGCATTCGTGAATCAATAGTTATGGTGAATCAAAGAAAGCCAGTTGTGAATTGAGCTCAATTTCTTTTTGTGATATAAGTTTGCGATAACAGCCTTCCGTAATTGAAAGGTTGAGCAAAGATCTAACATTTTATTATCGCAATGAAAAAAACGGAATATTTCTAGATCACCTTTAATTCCACAATATCTCGAGTTGCATAGCGGAACACTATCCAGCCAGTACACATGGAAAGTGCCGCAATTCCTGATCATGATTGACTTTGTAGAGGAGCAATAACAGGAATGATATGGAGAAAAGCAAACAGATCTTGCAACAACACCTGAAAATTGAGAAAGGAAACTTTCAATAAAATATCTTGGTATCTGGCGTAACATTCATTTGAAAACGAGCATATTCGATTTGGAGCCTACACGAGTGATATAGCAGTTTAAGCCCTTACCCTCGAATAAGCCTCTACCCTGGAGATTCTTTTTTGATAAACCCTTCCCACGAATTCTCCACCCTAATAAGTCAAACTAATATACACCATTTTAGTCTGTGATTAAACCAAAATAACAAAAAAAAGAATAATTTGCGAAGATTTCGCAGAAGAAAGCGAGAATATCAGCATTTTGAATAAAACTTCTTTAAACGTTTTTTCATCGGCTTGATATTTTCGAAAGAGATATTAAAAGGAATGGTGATCGAAAAAAATTGGAAATCGCGACAAAACTTAAAACATATTTGAAGACCCTTTCAAATATGCCATGCTTCAGATGTTTCAAAAGACATTCAACGGCTAGATCTACTTACCATCAGATACTGAGGGCAATGCTCCATTTTGAATCCATCCTTGTAGAAACGAACCACATCTGTTTGAAGATACACCAAGTTTTGCTGGACAAGAATTCATCATTCTGTTGCCTGCATTACCCATGAACCGATACCAGCCAAACAGTTCTTTGTCACATCGATACGAACTCACGTCACTGAAGGTCACAGCACGGTCATTATTTGATAACACCTGGTAATATTTGCACCCATCTAAGGCTTGGATGCGAGAGGTAGTCTGGGGCAAAGCTGACGTCAACAAAGAATATGCCGGGGTAGAGGACGTTTGGAATGTAACAGCAGTGCTTGGTTGTACATGTACTGAAGTTTCGTTAACAAGGCAGTTTGTCGTGTTGTTACCATAAATGGTGGTTTCTAAAAATGAGCAATCAGATTTAGGGTGAAAGAGTGCTTTTGCTTCAAAGACATCTTGAATGAAACATAAATACAAAATGAAACATAAGAAGTAGAACATCTCTCCCTGTATTCATCGAGAAATGATATAAATTGTTAATGAATCAAAGCAAATGTGAAAAATTGAGACTCAGTGTTGGGCAAGACAGTATAGGCTCTTGTTCCATAAGATTTTGATAATACAGGACTAATCATGAAATATTTGAAATGGATATATTTGAAATGGATATCTATTCTTGAGTCTTGATATCCCTCTGCCTTCTTTTGCCAGTTTTCTTCTCAGTAAAAAATGTTACTTGAAAAATTTTACATGAATTTATACAGACTGGTGAAGTGACAGAAGTAACATAGGCTGGATAATTTGCTTTCTGATGACTGGCGTTGTATAATTTTAGGGCTACTGTATGTGATGTTGTTCCTACCCCGGATAGAGTATATGTTCACAATAAACTGCAATGGAATGCTGCTTTGTCGCTCGTAACGACCATATTTGAAGTTGTATGCAAAATCCTCCACCATTATAGCCAACGCGTACCAACCAATAGTGTTGTATGGTAAAATTGACAACGTACAGTTCTGCTAGGAAGAAAGAATATTTTTCTTTAAAAAGAAACGGATTGGTAGATACTGAGGTAAATGTTTTCATTGAAAAGGAATACTGTGATAAAAAATTAACTTTAGAATCGTAGGCTGCTTATCGGATAATTAATAGAATGATCTTTGTTAACCGAGACCTTCCAAAGGTTCATCATAGCCTTAGTACTAATATTAGTTCCAGTAGCACTGACAGAAGGACGCATATGAAAGTCTACAATAGAGTTGTCAAGTGATGACGTCACAAAAATCTGTTTTTAGAATTTTTAAAATTTGTTCCCATAACCTGAAAGCTTAGTGCAGATTGTGGAAATGACCACCAGCTTCTAAATGCAAAACTCAAGAAAAGGTTGAGGACAAGAGAAATAACTAATTCACAAATAAGATATGAAGTCAGTAACATACCAAAATAATTTAAAGTTGAAGTCAAGAACAGATTTGTTCAACTAATTGCATGCTGTAAAGTTTAAGTTTAGGTATTATCCCTCGCGTGCAAATAAGAAGAGAATTGTAGCATGTGATAAGTGCAAAGATCAAAGGTTAGCCTCATAAAGGAAACAATGCATGCATGTGATACTGATAGGTCATAGGACAAGGTCATTATGCCTCTGCGGGGGGCGAAGCCGTGTGTGTTGGGATTTTGTGTGAGGGGGGTTTTGTGTGTTGGGCATGGCGTTAGTTGGTTCTTTGCTAATTTGCATCTCGGCTTGGGGGGGTTTTGCGGGTCACTAGGTGGGCGTGCCGCGGGCGGCGGTCCACTGGCTCGGCGTGCCGCGGGCCGGCGGTCCACCCAGTAGATACCTAAAGCAACAACGGTAGATAGTTACGAGAAGAAGCTCCAAGAGAAAGGTCATGTAGAGATAGGCACTCCATGGCGTAGGCCAGTGGAGTGGAGTGGGGTAAAGCGTAACTCACATGAATTTGTCAATTAATAATAATCAACCGGTAAGTCGATAAAAGGGCCTATGTAAATAGTGCAAATAAACCTATAAACGTCTTCATCGTTTCTGCCCTGAAAATCCAGAAAAAGAGAAAGTCTTTACAACATTGCAATCAAGAAAGAAGAAACGACACCAAATGCCCTCTGGGAATGTGAAATTGAAGCCATTCAAGGAGTTGCCCAGGAGATTGTTCCCAGAAAGAAAAAGATAAAAAAGCCTTGGATAAGCGAACATACAACTAAACTTGCAGAAGAGAGAAGAGAAGCAAAGAGCGAGGGAAATAGAGAGCATTGGAAAATGCTGGACAAAGAGGTGACCAAATGTGCAAGAAGTGATAAGAATCGATATCTTGAACAAAAATGTGTCAAAATGGAAAATGAAGTGGACGAGAGCACTAAGAAAGTCTTTCAGATATTGAGGGAATTTCAGATAATTATGCATGTTATTGCAGAAAATATTGCATGATATTAGCTGTTAGTGAAACGGTTGATAAGCTCATAAACCTTCAAAATCCTCAAAGAAAGTGACATGTAATCAATGTTACAAACCGTATGTAGAGTGGAATAAGGTATACGGGAATTGTATACACCTCCACCTTCAGTGAAATTTACAGCATATCGGCATCGAACCTTGTCTCCATCGGGATCAGATACGGGTAACGCGTAGTTTCTAGTGAAGAATGTGTTATGCTGTATCGAAGGAAGGAAACCGACCTGAGGTGGTGTATTGACATCGTTAGAATTGCTTAAAAAAGATCCGCGTTTTTTTAAGGAAATGACAGTTTCCATGCTCCATGATGAAAGTGAAGATGAAATCAACCCGTTGACCCAGCAGCAAGATAAAGATCTAGTAAGAAGATAACGATATTTTATCAGAAGCTTGCAAAGAAACGTTTATCTCCGTAGGCTCAATGTCAACAAAATAAGAAGAAAATTGGAATTTTCAGCCTTGCCCGTTATGTGATCCAACTTCTTTTCTAGTTGCTGCAGCACGAGTGAATTTCTACTTACGAGCGAGTGTGGGGGGTGTGTGGGGTGTGTTTGGGGGGGGTGGTGGGGGGTTTGTAGGTACTATCTACTCACTAAATCTAGATTATAGATTTCTTTCCGACAAAAACCAGTGTCAATAGGAAATCCCCCCCCCCCCAATAGTATCTCAAAAGGAAATTTCAGGTAAAATCCGCTCGGTGGAAGAAACGCTTTAGGTATTTTAGAGATCTTCATGTCATAAAATCAATTAAGGATCGAGCAGTTTCTCCGTTGGTTAAATATGATTTTCCTTGATATGAATCAAGGTAAACAAACTAATGATATGAAGATTTGAAGATTGCTTGTTGGCAATAAATCTAAAAGTCCAGACCCTTTTTAGGTAAAATTGTGCCTTGTGTCCATTTCTCCTAAAGTTTCTCAGTAGAAGCGTCAACTGCAATTCACTATGAGCTCCAGATTTTTCTTAACATTCAAAAGGCATGCTAAGATTGGGAGAGGAATTTAGATTTAGAAGTAATTGACAACCTGGTATTTTTCAAGACCACGGTGAAATTGTTGTTTTTATCTATGAATTTTGCAAAAAACAACAATTTTCAATAGGATTAAGAGGATTGATTTAGTAAAATTTACTTAAAAGAGTGCATTTTCCAGGGAACTAAAAGCATCAAAATTCAAAAAATTTCATTTTCCTTCGGCGGCAACCATGGTGCCACCTCAGGTAGTAACCATATATTTTGCCCGTCCCGATATAGAGATTTGACAAAACTTTTAGGAAGGTCTGTTATTATCATACAGAGTTAGATTGACAAAATGTATTGCAGAGGTTTGTGACAGCAGCTAAAAAATTTCAGGCAATAATTTTTTGATCAGGTAAATTTTTAGTCCACACCTCCCCCCCCCCTCCCAACGAGGCTTGCTTCGCGACGGCCCTGTCTGTGCAACTCATTATGGATCTGCCCCTGTATTCGTTTCCTTTCATAAAAACTTCAAAAATGAAAAAGCTTCGCACAACGAGAACGGGTACAAAAAACTGCTTTATCCCATACTGGTTTACTATTGAAAGCAGGTTGTTTCAAACAACTTTCGCAAACTGGTGTGTTGCCACGCGGGATGTCCCTTGTGACACAGCCCCTTGTGACACCAGTCGATCATTAAAAATTCACACGGAATAGGCATAGCTTACGTGCGTTCACAAAGCTTCGATTAGATCAATAAGTAGAAGCTAAAATATTGTCGCAAGGTTAAGCTCTGTCCGTTTTTATACAAAAATGAAACCTTGAACCAAAATTAGGCCAATGAAGGAAATATAGTTCAGGTTAACATTTATTAGGGAGGGAGGGAGGTAGGGATGGGGGAGGAGGGGAGGAGGGTCTGGGGGTTTGGGGGTAGGATAGGGGGGGAACTCCGCTTCCGACAGCAATGCGCTTTTTGCAAAACTTTATTTTCTATCAGTTTGAAGCAAACAGTGAGCAAAAAATTGCAATTGACTGTCACTTACGATAGCTTAAATAAATAGTTCTTATTCAGGTACATCGTGTGAGTATTGGAACCAATTGTAAAATCGTAGTCGATGTTAAATCTTTCGCAAAAAAATCCAGCAGACACTGATGGGTGGTAGTAAGGAAAGTTATTGCCATCGAAACCATATCGTAACGAGAAGGATCCATGTTTGAAAAACTGGCAGCTTTTTATGGACGCATTGGTGCAGTGGGAATTTCCATCACTTCGCCTCCATGACACGCCATATTTGAAATTAACCTGAAAAAGGCAGCAAAGTTAACTATAATTAAGTAAAAATATACGATTATAGATTTTTAGACAAACGGGTATGACTGTTTCAAGCGCCTTTTCCTACTTGTCATTACTCAGTTACAAAATCTCATACCCGATAAACCTTTACTAAATGGCTATTTTGTTCTCTTGAAGGTCAATATCTGTGAAGTCGAATGAAAGACGTAGCCTTTAGGATCTTGCTTTGATTTGATAATGTTCTAGGGTACTGTCTCTGTCTAAGTCTATATTGTCCTGGCATCTAGTTATATATAGCGTTTACGCAATTGCCTATTTCTATGTTATCAAATGACATGTGCATGATAACCAGATTCGCCTGCAATGAAAGAAGAAGCTCACGTCAAAAAGGCCCAAACTAAAAGTTCCAGGACTCCTTTTCCTACTTCTCGCCTTCAAATTGTTCGTGCAAGCCTTTAAATTTTCTTATTCATAAACATATCTAGATATAGATTCCCTAACTTGTCCTACAAAAGTAAAACAAACTTGGACAAGGAAGACGATCTTATATTGCAAATCTTCAAGGTCACTTTTCAACTGTCAGCAGACTCTTCGAATTTTTTCATTCGACAAGAATAATACGCAATCTTCTGTTTACAACCTTTTTACCCATCCTCTTCAAAACAGGTGGTTAAATTTCATCAAGTTTCTATGCAATTTAAAGATAGGTATTTGTTCTGCCCAGTAAACACAATTTATGTAACTAACAAATCAACTTTGTAATCATACCAAGGTTCTGAAGACTTGAAGACTTAATAACCATACAAAAGTCCTGAGAATTTATTTCATGAAATGAATCTCAGTTGCATTAAGATCATCGTCGTATTTACTTTGCTTCCATGCATCAGACCTAACAAATTTGTCTGCTTTTTCTGCAGGAATGACTGGCACTTCAAGACATCAAATCAAAGAGTCTACACGAAATGAGAAGCTGGTAACAAGTAAGCTGCTTTGATTGTTTTCAATTTCAAAGTTGAAATAAATAATTACATTCCTTGATAAATATGCAAACTCCCAACGAAAATGGTCATTAAAACTTCATTATTAAAGACCGTGTGCAGAAAAGAAAAGAAACTATTTCACCAAACATTCTGAGCAAACATCTAACATAAGAGCTTCCATTGCATAGGAAACAAGATCATTTTCAGCTTGATTAAAGGATTTAAGAAAATCCTTTGTTTCTTCCATAAGATACAATCATTAGGTGTTTCCTTGTTTAACGGGACTTAAGACACTCGCTGAGATACTTTGTGACAAATGAAATAGAAAAATTCACAGGTTGCTCCGGATTATGTCTGGAAAAAAGCTTGTTCAGGAAAATAGAAACGTATATTTGCTAATGCCACGCATAAATTTGGTCTTAATGTCCTTTGCACATTACGGGATCAAGCCATATGTTTGGATTAATTGTCATTTCATTTTATATTTCTTAAATCATTATGAGTATATTCCAGTGATTACTTTGGACGCTTGGCTACCTAGGACAACGATTGCTGTGTTTTCCATCTCATATCAAAATTTGCTGATCCCATGCTACTTAAATTCCTTTACTTTGCTTAAATTCGAGAGAGTTATATCCCAGATATCATTCTTGGTTTCAAGCAAACAATTGCAAGAAGCCAGTCGCAATTAAATCATCTGGATCAACGAAAGGCTTTTTCTTTAAAAGAAAATTAGTCGATAGAGTATGTATTTCTTTGCGTGCAACACGGCTGAGAAAAATGTGTTCTGTACAACTAACATGTACAATAAAAGAAGAATACTGTCTAAATCAATGGTTTTCGAAAACGTTTGGTCCATCACACATTCTACGGATGCAAATCAAACCCGTGTTTTCTAGTGTATTAATGCATCGGCTCTTGTTACTCTCGGAATGCTCCCTTACACTTTATTTCTTCGTATGCCCTTAGACAATTATTTCTTCGTATGCCCTCACTGTCGTGTAAGGCCATCTGAGGCTGCAAAAACACGAACCTTGGATTTTGTGTTGAAAATGAATACATACTGCAGCTTCCTTGAGCACTGAATTGGACAACTGGGCTACACATTTGAACTGTCAGACATTTGATTACTAAACTCAATATAGGGATCAGGTTTACTACGGTTGTTCTGGATACTGAGCAACAAATGCAAAAGGCGTTGCCTGAAGGCATATAGCAGCACTTATGGTTGACAACGATGCGGCCAAATATCCCCCAAGAGTTTTTATCAAACTTAAATAGGCACGAACTCACAAATGGTCGTATAATTGATAAAGGTCCACACCCCTGACCCAGTCTAACCAGCAATGTTGCTTCACTTCATCAGTGCAACTGCTTACCTCTTTGAAATATCACTGAAGGATCTTTGTAGTGATTCCTTCGCTCTTAATTCGTTATTTTGTACTTTGCTGTCATCAGATTTTGTGTTTCATATGGCTCGGAATATAATTAAAATGTCTAATGGTATATCATTTAATATGATTAAATTACAAACATGAAGTGTTGGTAGAGTAAAGACAAGATTTGCTGTCAGACATTTGCTGAAACTTAAGATTTAAGATAGCGACAAAAACCTGCTAATGGCATTATTGAAAATCGTCGAATATTATTCTGAAAAGGGTGCTGCTCTTAACAAGAGCCATATTGTGCATAAGAACTATTAATTACTGCACATCACTTCTTTGGACATTTGGACTTTCTCAACAAAGACAACACCAGTGCGATCAACTGCCTTTTAACGTTAAAACTTTGTACAAACCTTGGCTAAGCTAGAACTGTGGTTCGCAGGGTATGTCATGTTATTTGTTTGGTCAACGGTCCATGTCATGTACACCCCACGAAAGTTGTGGCTTTCTGCTAAGCACAGAGCTAAAAAGAGCGTCAAGAATTGTAACAGCCGCATCACTTCTTGTCTTCTAGCCACGAATGATTTCGTTGGAGCAGATGGAGTCTTTTCTTTCAGAATATTTGGTCATGCGTACAAGTCCATTATTTCAGCCTCGTTTGACAAATTCGTCTTCTGATTTCCCCTTTGTAATCAGGTTTGCAATCTCGCTGATTGGACAGCTACAAGTCACAATTCTGGCCGCTTTTGAAACCCTTGGCCGCAGAAAAAAAGGTTTTGCGAATCTTGGCCGTAATTAGAAAACCAAAAAGAGCGAAGCAGCTTGTTTTTGCAAGAACTTATCAATTTTTTAACTTTAAAAAAAAGAAAAAAGAAAAAATAGAGCAAAATTTTGGCTTCTTTTTCTCTACTGACTATGAAAAATCTTTCTACTGAATCATTGCAAAACATGTGTTGCTTTCGTATAACTCTTTACTCCATCTGCTAATGGTATATAAAGTATCTTGTGCTAAAATACCTAAATTTGGAAATAATAAGTAAGAATGAAGGAAGTAAGATAATATTTTATGAAGCCTAATCTCAATTGAGAAAAAAATCAGCGAAATGCGCTAAAGTACGCGCGAAATAAGTCTTGAACATGCACAGGGAACTTTTGCTGGGATTTCTCTCGCAAAGAATTTCTCTGCGAATAGCCTAAATACCTTTTTTCTTTCAGCAATGGTTTTGCATGTTTTCCTGTTGTCTTCCCCGTTGCATTTGTCCTTATCTTTCAATAGATATAAACAAGGCTTTGTTAGATTTGTATTATTCAATTACTGATAACAACACGGCGTTTATTATTTTGTTCTAATCGTTTATTACATCAAACATTGCATGCGATCGCAGAAGCAAATACAAAAGAAATTTCATAATATGTTAGCACTGCACTGAAAACATGCTAGCACTGCACTGAAATTGAAAAGAGCGCACAAAATCAAATCGATGCCTATTTCTTTAAAGAGTATCTGCCTTCTTCTACTTGTGCACTTAATACATAAATAATATATATGTGATATATTAACTGACTTATCGGCTTCTGATTTCAATACCTATTCGCTGAGCATTTCATTATCTTTATTAAGTGTATCTAATTGATGTTTGGCGAACGGGGCAATTATTTCTGACCCGTACGTGATGATAGGCTTGATTAGGTGATTAGATAATAAGACAGCCGTAGATGGTTTCATGACGTGATGATAGGCTTGATTAGGTGATTAGATAATAAGACAGCCGTATATGGTTTCAGGTGAAATTTGGATATGGTGTCAATAATAGGGTAGAGGGCTTTCATACCCTTTTCTTTGAGGTTCCTCTTAGTAGCCATGAAACTCGCACCTGCTGAAATGTCTATTCCAAGGTAACAATGCTGTTGTGCGAATTCAAAGGTCTTGACCTGCAATCTTAAATATTAATTATAGGTCACAGCCTGAACCATTCGTGGAATGAGGAACTGCATTAATAATCTACCGTTGATTGGCTGGATGATACTGAAGATAGATTTCCCAAAGAAATTCAATCAAATTTTATGCACACTCAGCACAACTTTTGTTGCGAACAGACCAATAAGCTGTGCTCACTGCCGAATGCGGAACTGATTTGCCAACTGCCAAAACTTTTATTCTGTTGACGAAGGAATACTTTTTCAGATAAATACGAGGGTATAATTTCATTTCTACAAGAATGAATTTTACAGCGAAGTCCACGAGACTGCGAATTTGGTGCGAAAATTTCTCTTGATTTCCACCAGACATAACTTCTAGGCACCCGATTTCGAAAATGCAGGCATAGAAGTTACCTTATCGAAGATCAAGCGAATTTAAAGTCCTCTGATTGTTTATCATCTGTTGGGAAGACTTAAACTCTCCCTCTTCTCTTGCGAATTTGCTGCGAAATCAAGAATCAAAACTGCGCATGCCTGCCTGGATACATTTACAAGCAATTTCACCGCGGATTCATTCCAAACTACGCACTGTGGAATATATTTTTCCTTATTTGCAAAGAATTTTGGACGAAGCTGAAGACGCTTTCAAATTTTATGTTATCACATTGACTAAAACCCAAAAACACGACAGAAATATGCTATGAATAAAACTCGAAATCACGACATTTTTAAAAAACCTGGGTACAAGGTTAAAGTATTTCATAGCAAAACTCTTAAAAGGCGAGCAGCATTCACATTCTCGAAATATGGCACGGCTTTTAGAAGCAAAAGTAGCTGAAAGGACAAACAAGGAACATCAGTCTGTATGGAACATGTGTCTACATGGCCTTAGGGCGTTGGCTTGAATCGTTGCTAAAATAACTTCTTCAAAAATTGCGGATTATTACATATGTAATTGGACAAAAGAAATCTGTAAATTTTGATCTGTATCAAAGAAGCTCAATCTTTCAAGCCCTCACAGTTTCAGACGTCATCTTTTGAAACTATTTTACTGCTTTTAATTCCAATTTTCTGCGACATTTTCAAAAATCTTTCTATAAGATTAGATATTCATTGATGATTTGCGTGCAATTTGCTACTGTCTTAAAATTGGTTTAGTATGTGTAATACTCCGAGTTTGTTTTCTCGTGAACTCATTACATTACAATAGGGACTAATTACAAATAACAACATGACAATACAAAGTACAAAAGTCGACACTGAACAATAGTACAGACAGATACTACGGCGTTACAGCAAGTATATCAGATTCTAATACTATAAATAATAATATTTAAAAATCGATATTATAAGAAACTTGATATTATTATATGAGATGTCGATTGATGTGCATATGCGGCCAGGGATACTGTAATATGTAAAGAAAAGCGAAAAAGTGCAACAAACCAAAACACTGCTTGGCTAATGCCCCTAAGATTACGAAAAGTCAATTATTCATTAAATGGTCATCAAACTTTATATTCAGACAACATCGAAAAAGATTTTAGAGGAGGAATATGCCAATCGGCGACCACTAGTCTCTAACTTATATAAAAACTTTTAATAACGAATTTTTTTTAAAATAGGCTGAGCTGAAGTCGTTTGAGCATTAATATCGATTAAGGATTTCTACGCTATTGATTTAGTTTTTATAACATACGATAAACAGTTGCGGGCAGGGTCGAAACTTCACTATCTTCATTAGTGGGGTATGAAGCTTAGATGCCCGACGAAAAGGCGTGTCATGCTGGATGAAAAGGCGTGTCTGAACATCATTTTTACGAGAGAAGGTCACTTCTGGAGTTTTTCTGGTGTTGACTATAAACATTTGTTTAAAAAAGCAAGCATTTGTAAGGCCTGTCTTTTCTATAAAAGAAAAATAGTCTTCACTTTCTAAATCATCTGGCTATTAAGAGAGCAATTCAAAAAAGAGATTGAAGTAGGGTCTCAATTTTATCAAAGTGGAACAACAAAACACAGCCTGGAAGTTTTGGAATTTAGAAACAGCTACGCAGACTACAATGTTTTAGCAAAAAAAATCTTCAGTTGCATTTTCTGAATTTGATTTTCAACTTTCGGTTGCTCCGTAAGAAATTTAAACATTTTTAGACACCCAATCGCAAAAAAGTATCACTGAATTCACCAGATCATTCCTCAAGCTTGTGCAAAGAAAAGCTTTTTTATTGGAAATATTTTACAGGTACACCTATCATCAAAGCTCAATTTTCGTGTTTTCGTAATCATGGATATTGTTCAGAAATAGAAGAAACTCGAAAGTTCTTTGCAATTCATATCTTAACTACAATTCCCTGATAAATTTTCTATTATTTTCTGCTTGAACTGTCGGCTTAAAACTTTCTGTTACTTGTTACAGCTATTTGAATTTTTTTAATTGAAAAACTTTGGCGACTGTACGGCCATTTTTTGGCGAAGGGTGCAATACTTTCGGAGCGGAAGTGTAAAGCCTTTCGGAGGATTTCAGGGCATAACTCCTTATGAATGTATGATGAAAGTTTCATACATTTGGAAAAGAAAATGTTGCTTGACTTTTCTTAACAACGTATTCCGAGATGGCATATCCTTCATGCTTTGATTTATGATGCTTCTGTAAAATCGTCAGTGTACCATGGGCTCCGACGTAAGGGAAAATTTAGTAATCAAAACAAAAGATTTTGAAAAAAGCTCTCTTGTTTTGCAAAAAGGTGGGGAGGGAGGGATGCCCTGTGTTCATTTCCTTCTTGCATCAAATACACTTTACTTTCCGTCTATACTTTTGCTGTCGATCATTACTTTAGACTCTACTTCCGCATCTCGAGGCGAAGATAAACATGTGCACGTCGAGCTCGAGACGAAAGCGCTGATCAGTGGACGAAAAACAGAAATATATACATGTTGCTGTTGCTTGCCTCGTTTCTGTTTGGTTTTCCCAACTGGACGGAAATTGAAAAAAGATGAGGGGAAATGACAATAATTTCGAAAACTAAGCTATGGCAGAAAGTAGCAATAAATATGCGAGACCTAAAGAAAATTTCCAGATTTGCCCGACCGATGTACTGGCAGCCATAAACTTGCACTACAAAATCTGTTTTTTTGAAGATTGGGGGGGGGGGGGTCAGCACCCCCATACCCCCCTAGCAGTTTCGCCCTGGGTGTGGGTTGCTGTGACAGGTTATTTCTATTTATCAAATACTGGAAATGCTGATAAATGAAATATAAATAAAAGATGAATATAGATAAATGAAAGAATATCAAAACATAAAGAAAACCGCAATAGCAGCGCAATGTTAATGATTATGATTTATTCAGCAAGCGAAAAGTATTAGTAAAAATTAGTCAAGAAGAATGAATACGAAGTTTGAAAAATGTGAAGCAACAGTGCTTGGCGCTTTGAATTTAGAAAGAGGTTGAGATTTTAAAACAAGATTAAAATTAATGTTCTTTATACATTGCTGGTAGACAAAAAGCTTTTTAGGCTCACCAGCCAATTTCGTATCGACACCAAGTCAGTTTTTCCATTATTTCTATGTTAAATACCTTTTTTAATTATCTCAAGCCTATTGAAATTCTCTGAGCAAATATTAAACAAGTTGGCCAAGCTCACTGTGCTCTTTCTAAATCTAGACGTAATTCCAAGCACAAGAAGCTACCAAGCAAAATATATGCAACAAAAAAGAGAACAAAATACGCACAGATAAGTAGTTCGGTGCATCTAGATAAGCTAGGTTATCAACCTTACATGTAATGTCTTTCAAATGCCTATAAAAACCGATGCTTTTAAACGATTTCATTAAGAGCAAAGAACATTGTCCTTGAAAATCTCTGCTTGTTGTTCTTTGCTGATGACACCGATGTTTTGCATTACAACGGCATCATACAAATGATTTTCCCCCATATGCTGCTCAGGGGGCAAATCCTCTTGGCTGCCCGCATAACGATTCTCTTTCTCTGGCTCAGGGACGACCATAGGAGAATTTTTCATATGTGCAACCTTGAACGCAAGCCCAGCGACAACCGCAACCAGTACAGCAACAGCAACACCCATACCAATGAAAGCTTTCGTTTTATCCTCATGCACTTGTTGTGCCTTGCCTGGAAAATAGAGAGAGAACTGCTAGCAAACTGATTCTTTCAAAAACTCAATAGTTTAACATAAAGATTATTCTTCAACTGTCTGTTGTATAGAAGGAGTGTATTCCTAGGAGGCTCGGGAGTGGGGGTGATGGTGGGTATATGGGGGTGCTGTCAATGCCGGAAGGTGGCAAATATCTACTTTTGCTATTATTTTTGCAGCCCCTTGCGCGAGAACCCCCTTTGTTTTTATGATCGCACTAGATACCTATTGCAAAGTGCTCGGAACTGTTAAGATAAAGCTGTGCAGGGATTGTGTGCACTGTAGCGTGATTCGACCTTAAAACCGTGTGGACCAACTAGAAATATACCGATCAAGTCATGAAGAATTGGGGATGTCACACCCCCATACACCCCAATCCCGCTAGCTATAAAGAAATCGAACTTTTGTACTTCGTTACAATTTGGTCAGGGGCGTCGCTGAAGTGGAGTATGGAGGTGGGGGGGGGGGGGGGGGGGCGCTGCACCGCCAATACTTTGTCCATCGGCGCATAAAGGACTTTTGTCGGAGAAAAAAATTCTTCTTTCTCTCACTCTGTAGTATAATTGAAACCTTTTTACGACGAATATAACGCATATGCACCTTTGTAGCTAACATTTTCAAAGTATGGCACTAGAAATACCGGAAATTGAATTTTTCGAATGCGGAAACAGAAAAGCGTAAAAAGTAGCTTTTAAAATCATTTATCATTTGCAAACCACCTAAAGAAAGGGACACACCATTTTTGAAGGCAAAAATCATTTCTGTCCCCGTCTCAGAAAATTTGTTGGCTTCGCTCTTGATTTTGGTATAGGAATATGTCCTCTTGATGCTTACCTTGACTACCCGCAGCTCTGCGAACCTCCCTCTCTACCATGTAAAATTTTGAAGGAGGATCGTTTGAGACACCGCTTAGATCTCGCTTTCCTCTGAAAATGTTATTGCCAGTGCACCCGTATTGGCAGCGATAATCCGTTGATGTGGCATGGCACAGGAAAACGAGACAGTGGAAGTATACAGATGTGCTGTTATTTAGAAATTTGAACGCCTGAATACTAAAGCGTTGACGGTGGTTTTGCGTCTTGTGAAACTGGACAGTGTTGTCGGTAGGGCATCTAGAATGCAAAAGTAATGAAGGTTATCAGTGTTGTTATGGAAGGACTAAATATGATGAGGAACTGTTGGCCCAGGCTGGAATCCATGTAATGTACGGCAGAGATACCTGAGGTGGACTTCATAATTTCCTTGGCGTACTGGTGTATAACGAAGAAATGATGTGTTGGCGTAAAGGTGGATGGGATGCTGCCTATGTTTGGGACACCATATGGCTTATAAACACCATATGGCTTATCAGTGGTGATAAAAAAAATGAGTAATAGTTTTATAAACCAGTATATCATACAACTTTTTAGTGTGAGCATTGAGATATATAGCTTACGCTTGATAATTTACTGGCCAATATCCAGCGTGAGGTATACATGCATCCTTGTATAATACAGATAATTGACTGGCTTTTGGCAGAGGTCCACAAGACGGAGAACTAAACCCTTCGTTGTTGCTGGCATCTTAGATGAAGTGCTTGTGCATAGGAATATTTTAAAGCAAGTGGTGGATTAACCAATACCAGGTCCTGGGCCTACGATATTTTAGGGCTGAATTCTGCCAAAATAATAACATTATGCGATAACAAACTATTGAGGTCATTAATGAATATTGCGCAGCTTGAAGCAACAGGTTTGAGTATATGGCGATTACAACTTAAGATAAAATGTAGTGATATTTAACATGTCCAATAATTAGTTTTCAGAAAACATGCCATATATCAAACCATTCAAGTTTTCAAAGCCGCAAAGTCAAAACTAATGCTATCCATCAAAAGCACGTCCATTACACGTTGCGAAGAGACAGGTTACCCAATCGAGTCTGACCTACTGTTATACAAGTTTATTATACAACAAGTGGACCTAGAGTTGATCGCAAGTAATTTTTTATGCGTTTCCAAACAATGAAAGACCTCTCGCCGCTGCAGTTTGTCATCATTAAAGGCAGAAATATTTTTAAAATGTTTTCCACATTTTGTAACAGAATTCAAAGCATTATTTGAAACTTGACTTTTTCGAGGAATTTTCTAAATGTTATTGGGTTACCAAGCCATGTAAATTCGGATGTTCTTTTGGTAATTAGAAATGACAGGCCATACTAAAATAATACAACCAGCCATTTTATTAGCAACGGAAATATGCGCAAGTCCTTACTAAAGGCCGATTTCCATTTGACATTATTTGTGAGCGCGCGCGTAGCGCCAAAATCTGAGCATGCGTAGTTATAATCAAGTGGTCTCGATTTTGCGTCCGCTGTGAGCGCCAGAAAGTTGATAGGGTCTCAACTTTTTTGTGCGCTCGGCTACTTGACAGCATCACTTAACTACGCATGCTCAGGTTTGGGCGCTACGCCCGCGCGCACAAAAAATGTCAAATGGAAATCGGCCTTAAAACATAGAGTAAAGCCTAGGCGCCATAAGCCACATAGGTAATCCACCACTGTGTAAAATGATTATGAGATACCTGTTGTTGATGAAGACGTATTTCATGTAGTGGTTCCTATCCATAGTTGGCGTGGAAAAGCATTGATCGATGAGTATGACTGTGTTTTCCTGAGATTTACTCGAGTAGACTTCAAAGTGCATCCAGTCTCTCAGCTGAACACTCACAGGGTAATGGGAATGCATCGTTGAATAAGTACGGTCAGTGTACATGACAAAGTTGAAACTGAAGTTTCCATATCCAACTAGGAAGAGATCAGAGTTTTTTTGAGAAAAATAAAAACAGTTATTATAAGGAATGATGGAAAATTTTATAAAATCATAGGTTGAAATATCAACTGCAAAATCACTTACTATGCTAAGTAGACCTACTTTGAAACAGGAAAGATCCTTTCTGAATGTCATCAAAGATCTATTTCTTTAATTTAATAAATGAGGAGGCATATCAGTTGGAGAAATAAGGTCCTGAATTCTTCATTTTTAAAACATGCAGCCCTTCAGCTTGATTTTACGTACTTTAACACAGATTGAATAGATTGAAACACGTGATCGATATTACATAAGCAGCACATATTAGGTCCAAGGAAAGCAGCTTTAGTTCATTTACGAAAACTTTTTCAACGCAACTGAATGATGCGATGCACCTGATTGCGTCAGTAAGTAAGGAATAGACATGAAATGTTTATCACCCAGTGATTTGCCGTTACTAAATTAATGGAACGTTGTTATCATGATTGGTCAATTTGATTGAAGCTAACTACCTGAAAGAAAATTTATCTTTAAAAAAATGGATCACCAAAACATATTACTGTCACCATTTGCTAGATACATTGCTGCAGTAGGAGTGCAGTGTAAATAGATGCTTCAAAGACAAAGGTGCATCCTAAACTGGTATATTTGATCAGGCACTGAAATTAATCTTACCTTCAGATCCAGTGACATTGGATATGGGTATGTACCTGTATGAGTTCCACGTACTACTGTATCCAGATTTGTCAAAATGGCAAGTAAATTTTACTCGCTGGTCAGGATCCCTTGTTATTGTACCAGAGATAGCTTTAGGTCTGAAAATGACTTCATTCTCGTACACAATGTACCTCGACGTCTCACTTCTAGTTGACCCACATGCGCCTGGTACACTACCAAGTATGATGTTGTAGCTGCCTATGGATGCTAAACAGGAGGTATCTCGCAATGTTATGCTTGAAAACAGGGATTTATCGTAGAAGGCTCGATCAAAGTCGATCCTCATATAGTTCGGAGTGCAGGACACGACGGAACTTTTATCTAGTAATAAACAAAAAAAATTTTGATGTTAGTGCCATTGTATTTGTTTAGAAAAAGAGCATTGATTTTCTTTGAGTATATAGCAAGGAATCGGATTGAAAGGTGTATGCAAATTGATGAGAGTAAGTGTTAGTTTTAGTTCAATGTCCGCGTGCAAGAGAGGAGAGTAAGACGTATTCGTGAACCAAAGAAAGCCAGAGGTAAATTTAGGTCAATGTCCGCATGCAAGAGAGGAGAGTAAGACGTATTCGTGAACCAAAGAAAGCTAGAGGTAAATTCAGGTCAATGTCCGCGTGCAAGAGATGAGAGTAAGACGTATTAGTGAACCAAAGAAAGCCAGAGATAAATTTAGGTCAATGTCCGCGTGCAAGAGAGGAGAGTAAGACGTATTCTTGAACCAAAGAAAGCCAGAGGTAAATTTAGGTCAATGTCCGCGTGAAAGAGAGGAGAGTAAGGCGTATTCGTGAACCAAAGAAAGCCAGAGATAAATTTAGGTCAATGTCCGCGTGCAAGAGAGGGAGTAAGACGTATTCGTGAACCAAAGAAAGCCAGAGGTAAATTTAGGTCAATGTCCGCGTGCAAGAGAGGAGAGTAAGACGTATTCGTGAACCAAAGAAAGCCAGAGGTAAATTTAGGTCAATGTCCGCGTGCAAGAGAGGAGAGTAAGACGTATTCGTGAACCAAAGAAAGCCAGAGGTAAATTTAGGTCAATGTCCGCGTGCAAGAGAGGAGAGTAAGACGTATTCGTGAACCAAAGAAAGCCAGAGATAAATTTAGGTCAATGTCCGCGTGCAAGAGAG